TCAGGCACTGGCACAGCTGCCAGGGCAGTGGTGGATTCACCATCCCTGGAGGGATTTAAAAGCCATGTGGATGTGGCACTTGGGGACATAGATTAAGGGTGGCCTTGGCAGTGCTGGGAGAGCAGTTGGACTTGATGACCTGAGAGGGCTTTTCCAGCCTGAGTGATTCCGTGATTCTGTGGTAGTTCAGCAGTAAAGCTGCCTGGAAGGTCTCTCAGAGCCTGATTTTACCCTTCAGGTTTTTGGATGTTTATGGATGTGACTGGCCTGGCAGTGGGAGTGATGGATAGAGCTGGAAGCGCAGGAGAAGGTGGTCATGGACATTCAGAGGACAAAAGGCAGCCCCTGATGCCACCCCCAGCCCTGGGCACAAGATGGGTTTGAGCAGAGTAGGGCAGAGGTGACCCCAAGTGTTGTGACCACATCAGGAAGGATAAAGAGAAATCGGGGATGGGTGTAAGCAAGGAAAGGCTGCTTTGTGTGTGAGGGCAGGGAGAAGGGCATGTGAAGCAGAGCAGGGGTCAGCTGGGATTTGATTTTAATGCCCAGGGTGAAGAGCAGAGGGAATGTGAGGGTCTGGGTTCAGCCTGTGCCACAGATTGAGGCTATTGAGTGCTGCTGCTGGTGGCCCACAGCCACCCCCGGCTCTGTTCCTGGTGTGGGGGAGCAAACCCCTCCAGCTGTCACCACGTGTCTCCCTCTGCACCTGGGGACAGTGCTCTCCACATGGGGAGTGCCACTCTACACCAAAGGTCACAGATTTTTTTGGCTCCTGGGGTTTTTTGGCTCTTTTGGGCAGGAATTTGTGAGCCTAGTGCAGGCTGTTGTGCTGGCAGGCTTGCAGGCTCTCCATGGCAACTCTCCCTATACACAAAGCACCATATGGCTTTTTTTGGAGGGGGAGGGAATGAATCCAGCAGAAAATCAACCTTTGTTTGTGGTGCTGTTTGTCTTTGCTCTCTGTGACTCATGGGGAGGTGGAAGCATGGAATGCTGGCTCCTAAGCATGGCTTGTGCTGGCCATGCCACCACCAGGGTGCAGGTGACCTCTCAGATGGCCTTTCCTAGATTTTTACACTGGAATTTGCTGTGAAAATAAACCCATGGTACACAGAGAGCCCCTCTTTGGGCTGGGCTCTCTGCACACAGATGGAGCAACAAGGATCCTGTTCATGCCCAGCATGTTCATTCCCTGAAGGGCTGGGAAGGCTCCAGAGCTCCTGGTTTGGGCAGGAGCTGGGCAGGAGGCAGGTGATGGATGGCAGGAGCTGCCTGTGCCTGTGCTCTGCCCACGCTTCATACCCCTGATTCCAAAAGGAAGCTTTCACTTGCCTGCAAAGCCTCCCTTTTCAAGCCCCTCTGGAAGAAACGAGGAGAATAAATATCTTTATATGTGTCTGTAGAAGAGTAGGAAGTGTTTGTGTGTCTACTTGGAGGGGGAGGAAGATAAATGAAGAGGGAAAAAGGAGAGGGGAGCAGCCTGTGCCTTTGGGATGTGGTTCCAGGGACTGCTGTGGGGTGCAGCAGGATCTCTGGACATGGCCTGGAGCTGACCACTGCCTGTGGTGGGCAGGAGAGGTGGCTGCCTGTCCCCTCTGGGTGGTGTGACACAAGCTGCCTTCCAGGAGCACTGTTTGGTTTTGGTTTTGCCCCCAGATGTGGGCAAAGGCTTCTCTTGGTGGCATCCACTGAGGTGAGCAGGTCACTGTCCCCATCTCCTTCCTGCTGTCAGCAACCAGGCTCCAATCCCAGGATAGCACCAGGGATGATTAATGGGAAAACTCCTCCAGATTGTAGGCTCAGGCTCATGGGTGGGCAGAGGGACATCTGGGGAGAGGGACAATGCCATCTTCAGATTATAGAATCATTAAGGTTGGAAAAGACCTCCAACGTCATCAAGTCCAAGATCCCCCCATGCTACCCCAACAGTCAGAGCAGGAGTGGCCTTGCCCTGAGCAGGGTGCAGGCAGCATCAGCATTTCCAGCTGTATCCAGGGCCCTGCTCTGAGTTTGCTGGAAGAGAGCCCAGAGCAGCACCACTGCTGCTGCCATGGTGGGACAGCAGTGGGATATTGGAGTGACCAAGAGCACCTTTCCCCTGCTGCAGCCCTGACCCTGTGGGGCACATTGTTTGGTCTGGCACTGGAAAAGCAGTTTGGGTCATTCTGGAGTGGATTCACAGCCTGGGAGTCAGGCCCTGGTGAGGGGAGAGATCATTTCTTGGTGCCACATGTTCAGCTTCTCCACCCCAGGGAACCCCTCAAGTTGGTGGCTGCAGTATCTCCTGGTGGTCCCAGTATCTCCTGGTGGCTCTGGTAAATCCTGGGTGCCCACCTGTGTGTGCATTTAATGGTTACCTGAGAGGCCCTGGGGATGGTGTTTAGCTGGGAGGGGTTGCTGCAGGCCCATGCCCTAATCAGAGATTCTCAGAATGCTTTGGGTTGGATGAGACTGTAAAATAAATCTCATTCCATGGGCAGGGACACCTTCCACTGTCCCAGGCTGCTCCAAGCCCTGTCCAGCCTGGCCTTGGGCACTGCCAGGGATGCAGGGGCAGCCACAGCTGCTCTGGACACCCTGTGCCAGGGCCTGCCCACCCTCACAGGGAACAATTCTTTCCCAATATCCCATCCATCCCTGCCCTCTGGCAGTGGGAAGCAATTCCCTGTGTCCTGTCACACCAGCCTCTTGTCCCCAGTCCCTCTCCAGCTCTCCTGGAGCCCTTTGGGCCCTGGAAGGTGTCCCTGGATCCTTCTCTTCTCCAGGCTGAGCACCCCCAGTGACTTGACCAACCCCCAATCCCTTGACCTTTTACCAGACGTATGAAATGACCACAGTGTGACTCCTTAATTAAAAATGGCCTTTCTTGACACCTGGAGAGGGGCCGAGAGCAGGAGCTCTGGCTGTGCCTCTGGATGAGGCTGGCACTGTCCCATCGGGGCAGCCACAGCAGGACAACCTATGTGTCCCTTTGAGGGGCCAAGGAAGGGGCTCTGAAGAGCACAGAAAGGTGTCCCCTGTCCCTTCCCAAATCCTTGTGCATTCCCTGGGAGCACGGCCAGGTGCCTCCTCCTCCTCTCTGGGCCCACTTCCTCGGCAGCCATGGCAGCTCCGAGGCGTGTGGGCTGTTTATTTTGGGACTGCAGCACTGCTCCCGATCCGGTGCCTCCCGCCCGGGATCTAGGCCGTGTGCCGGATCGGCCATTAGCTGCTGCCTGAGGGAGCACGGGGAATTCTCGCTCCTTTCCTCGCTGCGAGGGCCGGGAGCGCCGCTGCGGAGGGGGCTGTGGGCTGGGAGGGGGAATTCATGGGGAGGCTGCAAAGCTCCTGGTTTTGTGTGGAGGCTCCTGGTGCGTGTGGCCACAGGAGGAGCAGAATTGGTGTGGAGGCTCAGAATTCATGTGGAGGCTCTCTCACTGCAAAGCTCCTGTTTTTGTGCTCCTGATGTGTGTGGCCACAGGAGGAGCAGAATTCGTGTGGAGGCTCTCTCTCTGCAAAACTCCTGGTTTTGTGAGGAGGCTCTCTCCACAGGAATTCATGTGGAGGCTGCAAAGCTCCTGGTTTTGTGTGGAAGCTCCTGGTTTTGCGTGGATGCTCCTTATGCATGTGGCCACGGGAGGAGCAGAATTCGTGTGGAGGCTTTCTTGCTGCAAAGCTCCTGGTTTTGTGCTCCTGATGTGTGTGGCCACAGGAGGCGCGGAATTCATGTGGAGGCTGTCTTCACAGGAGTTCATGTGGAGGCTGCAAAGCTCCTGGTTTTGTGTGGAAGCTCCTGATGCATGTGGCCACGGGAGGAGCAGAATTCATGTGGAGGCTCTCTAGCTGTAAAGCTCCAGGTTTTGTGTGGAGGCTCCTGATGCATATGGCCACGGGAAGAGCTGAATTCATCTGGAGGCTCTCTCACTGCAAAGCTCCTATTTTTGTGCTCCTGATGCATGTGGCCACGGGAGGAGCAGGATCCATGTGGAGGCTCTCTTCACAGGAATTCATGTGGAGGCTGCAAAGCTCCTGGCCAGGAGCAATGCTGCAGACGGGGCTGTGGGCTGGGAGGAGGAATTCATGGGGAGGCTTTCTTGCTGCAAAGCTCCTATTTTTGTAAGGAGGCTCTCTCACTGCAAAGCTCCTGGTTTTGTGTGGATGCTCCTGATGCGTGTGGCCACAGGAGGAGCAGAATTTGTGTGGAGGCTCAGAATTCACGTGGAGGCTCTCTCACTGCAAAGCTCCTATTTTTGTGCTCCTGATGCCTGTGTCCACAGGAGGAATAGAATTCGTGTGGAGGCTCTCTTGCTGTAAAGCTCCTGTGTTTGTGTGGACGCTCCTGATGCATGTGGCCACGGGAGGAGCAGAATTCATGTGGAGGCTCTCTCTCTGAAATCTCCCGTGTTTGTGTGGAGGCTCTCTCACTGCAAAGCTCCTGTGTTTGTGTGGAGGCTTTCTCGCTGAAATCTCCTGTGTTTGTGTGGAGGCTCCTGCTGCGTGTGGCCACGGGAGAAGCAGAATTCATGTGGAGGCTCTCTCGCTGAAATCTCCTGTTTCGTGCGGTCGCTCTTGCTGCGGGCGGCCGCGGGAGGAGCAGGCGCCGCACCGCGGAGCTGCCGCCTGCCTTCCCCGCCGTTCCCATGGCACTTGGCTGTCACACACACACACATCCCAGGCATTCCCTGCCCACAGCGGGATTAAAGCCTTCTGGGAGAGGAATGAGAGGATGCAGGGAACGGAGATAGGGAAAGGAATGGAGGGGCAGGGATGAAGCCAGGAGCCGGCCCCACTGGAGCAGCAAGGGCCGTGTAGGATCTGAGGCAGGGAGAAGCAGCCATTGCCCTCAGCCTTGTGCAGGTGGCATGCCTGGGAGCACAGGCCCTTCCTGAGGGCTGGAGCCGCCGGTCCGTGCACACAGAAGTTCCTGTCCCACCGCTGTCACACCTCCCAAACCCACCCTGGGTGTGAGGGTGCAGATTTCCCTCTGGGTGATTGCAGCTGTGTGTTTTTTCCCCCTGCAGACCCTGACAGCCAGCTGTATGATATGGGATATACCCCCGAGGAGGAAGCCCCGGCCTGCCCCGATGAGTTTGATGATTTCGTCACGTTTGAGGCAAGTATGAGCTCTGTTTGTTCCCATAAGTGTTGGCTGCACGTGGAGTGGGATTTGGGCATGGAGGCTGTGCCTGGGGAGAGGGGAGTGTGCTGTGACAGGGCTCAGGGATGCTGAACATGTGAACACAAATCTGGGTGATGGGCCCAGAGAAGCTGCACCAAGCATTTGGTGCTGTTTAAGTTAAAATTGGTGTTGATGATACTGAAAGAGCAGAGCATGGTGCTCTGGGTGGAAAGGGAGCTCCTTTCTGTGGTGAAACATTGGTAACACTGGAAGGGGTCCTGCTGCTCTTGCATTTGTCTTCCTGCTGGAGTTTCTGAGGTTCTAAAACCTGAGCTTGGCTTTGAGATGCACCAGCCAGGAGCCTGCCTGACAGGCACAGCAGAGCAGTGGGATGCTGACATTTGGTGCTGTTTGCCCAGTAAAAGGCACAGCAGAGGACAAAAATCTACATTTTCTCTCTATTCTTGGGCTTGATGAAGGCTGTTTCTCTGATTTGGGTTATTTTCCTCTAGTTAAATTCTCCATGCCTTGGTTCCCTCCTGCATTCCTTACCACAGGGGCACGTTGCAGCAGTGATCCTGCTGTTCCCAGCTGGAAAGGACAGACCTCTTGTCTGTGCCTGGGGGTTTTGGGCTCGGCTTGGAAGGCTTCACCCATTCCTGCTCTGTGCCTTCCAGCCTGGAGCAGGAGGTGCTGCAGGAGCCTTGGGAGCAAAGGGATGGCTGGGTCCCTGTCCCACGTGGGCACTGAATCACTCCCCTCTGCTTTTTCTTTTCCAAACTTGCGTCTTCAGGGCTGTGACACCTGTGTCATGGTAGCCTGGATGTTTTTGGAGTTGTCCTCTGCATGACCAGGAGCTGGGCTCTGATCCTTGTGGACCCCTTTCCACTCAGGATATTTTGTGATTCTTTGTGATTTTTATCACACTGTTGCTGGTAATGAGACTCCTGACCTACTTTGTATTTGCATGCAAATATATTTATTTATATTTGTATTTTTGCTTGGTATAGTCTGTAGTACATAATTTTGGATTTGTGATTTCTGATAGCTTGGGTGTTAGGCAGCTGCTCCTAAAATCATGGAATGATTTGGGTTGAAGGGACCTTAAAGATCATCCAGTGCCACCCCCTGCTATGGGCAGGGACACTTTCCACTGTCCCAGGCTGCTCCAAGCCCTGTTCAGCCTGGCCTTGGGCACTGCCAGGGATCCAGGGGCAGCCACAGCTTCTCCAGGCAGGGCTGAATACTGGTTTATTTTTCTTTTTTGAATGGTAGTTCCAAGCGTCAGGAACAGCTGAGGAGAGAAGTGGGACAGGAGGGCAGTCAGGGAGATGGATTTCCATGGGTTTTAGGTGGTGCAGGGTCACAAATGTGCATTTTAATGCTGGACTGAGCAGTGTGGAGGCTGTGACAGGAAAAGGCTTTCACTTTTTGCTCCTCAGACCTGTGTCAAGGGACCATCTTGCCTGAGATTCCGAGCAGGGATGTTTTCCAAGGGCTAATTTAACATAGATGAGCTCTGTCAGCACTGGGAGCTATTCTGGGCAGCAATACCAACAGGCAGGTGTGTGCCCCACTGGGATGAAATACTTCTGCTGCTGGGCCAGCCTTTCCTTGTAAAGACAAGGTGACCCAAAGGAAAAAGGTGATGAGTCCTGGAATCTCCTTTTCCAAAAGATCTGAGTGGATTTTTCTACTGAATTCACATCTGAGGGACAGCTCTACGTTTAACATGCCGGGGAAGAATTATCCTTGTTGTCTTGGATACATGATTTGAAATCATTTCCAGCCTGCCAGGATTTCGTAGAGGTTCAGCAAATGAGAACATGCTCAAGAAATACCACTCAGCCTTGGGAGTGTAAAAATAAACTGGAATCTTGGGGAGAGGGGGGTTTTGTTCTCTTCTGGCTGAGCTGTGAGCTCCCAACTTGCCTTTTATCCCATATGTCCTGCAGTGCTGTGCTTGGAAAGCTGGAGCTGGCCCAGGGAGGGAGACGCTGTGGCACAAAGCATCCTGCTGGGAGCAGCAAAGGTGTGTTCCTCGTGGGAGCACTGGGAAAAGAGCTGGAGAGGGCTCCAGCATTCCCTTCTTCCTTAGGTGCAGCAGGGAATCAGCCAGGCACAGAACAGAATAAAGAGCTGTTCCCAATACCTGTAGTCCCTCTTGCTTGGATTCTCCAGAAGAGATGAAGGAGGGAAAAATCACCTTTCAAAGTGAAACCATCACCTTTCTCAGAGTAAACTTCTCACTGCACCAAGCAGCAGTTTGGGCTCTGAGATATCCCTGTGTCAGCCCTGGGAAGATGCTGCACTGGGAAACACAGCTAAACACACCCCAAAACACACCTGGGACACCTCAGGCACTGCCTGAGCCCCTCTGGCTGTGGCAGGGCCATGGGGGGAAGTGGCACAGCTGGGATTTCTCCTCCCCTGTCACATCAGAGCTGAAGGAGTTGCTGCATTTGCAGAAGTGCTGGGAGCATTTGTGGTTATTGAGCGGAGCACTCGCTGTGGTCCCTCTGAAACAGCCCAAAATCCCAGTGGCTGGAGTGCTCAGCTCTTCCAAGGGCTGGGGTCTGACAGGAGCTTTTCTCATCAGTGTTTGCTCAAACAAGTGTAAACAAGTGCTTTAAGCAGTCTCCAGGAAAATGTCTTCTCTTTGTTAATGAGGTTGCTCTGCTTGATGAGTCATGTCCTCTTCTGGTGACTGTCACCAGGAGAGCTCAGCATCCATGGAGAGCCCTGAGAGCCCAGAGCTGGGGACTTTGACCCAGTGTTTGCTCTCCAGAGAGAGCCACTACACCTGCTTCCTGCAGGAGAAGGCTTTGGAAGGGGACAAGGTGGGAACTCAGGAATTTGTAATGCTGGATACTGCCCCAGTTCAGCCAGTGATGTGGCTCTGAATGTGCCGTGGATCTCCTGGCTCCTGTGGCACCATTCCAGGAGTGTCCAGCAGACCCCAGTGGCTCTGGATGTGCCATGGATCCTCTGCCTCCTCTTGCACCATTGCAGGAATGTCCAGCAGACACCAGTGGCTCTGGATGTGCCAGGGATCTCCTGGCTCCTCTTGCACCATTCCAGGACTGACTTTGGATGTGCCATGGATCTCCTGGCTCCTGTTCCACCATTCCAGGCGTGTCCAGCAGACACTGATGTGGCTCTGGATGTGCCAGGGATCTCCTGGCTCCTGTGGCACCATTGCAGGAGTGGCTCTGGCTGTGCCATGGATCTCCTGGATCCTGTTCCACCATTCCAGGAGTACCCAGCAGACACCAGTGGCTCTGGATGTGCCATGGATCTCCTGGCTCCTCTTGCACCACTCCAGGAGTGGCTCTGGATGTGCCATGGATCTTCTGACTCCTGTGGCACCATTGCAGGAGTGGCTCTGGATGTGCTATGAATCTCCTGGCTCCTCTTGCACCATTCCAGGAGTGTCCAGCAGACACCAGTGGCTCTGGATGTGCCATGGAACTCCTGGCTCCTGTGGCACTATTCCAGGAGTGGCTCTGGCTGTGCCATGGATCTCCTGGATCCTGTTCCACCATTCCAGGAGTGTCCAGCAGACACTGATGTGGCTCTGGCTGTGCCATGGATCTCCTAGCTCCTCTTGCACCACTCCAGGAGTACCCAGCAGACACCAGTGGCTCTGGATGTGCCATGGATCTCCTGGCTCCTCTTGCACCATTCCAGGAGTGTCCAGCAGACACTGATGTGGCTCTGGCTGTGCCATGGATCTCCTGGCTCCTCTTGCACCATTCCAGGAGTGTCCAGCAGACAGGGCTGTCTGTTAAGGTGCTTCCAGAGAGGATTTCTGCTCCCATGGCTCCACTGAGACAGCAGCTCCTGCAGCCACGGGGCTTCTCGTGCCTCCAGCTGGGCTTGCAGGGGGCTCATCCCAATCCCTGCAGCTCTTCTGTGACACATTCAAGAGGAACCTCATACCTGGGCAGCCAGCTGGAGCAGGGAGAGCATCCCCTGCCTGGGATTACCTCCCAGTGTTCCTCCTGCCTCAGGTGGAAGTGTAGTGGTGAGAAACCACCAAAAACTAATGACAGCCTTCCTGCTTTGTCAAAGTCACATTGAAGGGAGCTTGGAGCTTTTCCATCTGGACACCTGAGCCCTGTTTTCCCCCAGGCTGGGCTGGCACAGCTTGGCTGCTGACTGCCTGGAAGGTGGGAGTTCTCCTTGCCTCCCTTGAGAGCTCCTGTGGTGTTCATGACTCAGTGCTGAGGCACAGGACTCGATTGGAATGCTCTGGGGGACATGGAGGGGAGTTTGGGGTTCGTTTTCTTGGGATCATGGAATAATTTAGGCTGGAAAGGAACTCCAAGCTCAAGCACCACAGGGATACCCATTGTGCCTTGCCCTAGGGTGAGGGCTCTACCCCTCTGCTCTGCTCCTGGGGCAGTGCAGAGGGGGAAGGATGACTCCAGAAAAAGGAAAATGTGGCATGAAAATGCTGGGATTGGGCTGGGCTGGGCATGGAGCTGTATAACCTCAGTTGGGCTGGAGGAGAGGCACAGCCAGTGCCCTGTAAAGGCTGCCTGGGCACACCATAAATACCCCAAACAGGGGTTTTTAGCCCTGGCACTCGTGTTTTGGGCCAGCAGGGTCAGAGGAAGGCTCTGGCTGAGCTCTGCAGGAGGGGCAGCGTCACTCCTGCGGCCGCAGTGCCTTGTGCAGGACTGTTGCCATCTGCTGGGCAGCTGCCGTGGCTCCCGCTGGAAGCAGCCAGGAAAACGCGTTCTGCACGGCCACCAGGGGAGAATTTGGCTTTCCCTGGAAGCTGCACCGGCCCAGGCACGTCCCCTCTGGCTGTTTGTACAGCAGGGAGTTGTACAGCAGGGAAGGAGCGGATCTGGGGAGGAAAATGGGGCTTGGGCACGTCCCAAGTTTTGTGTATTTTGGGAGTAGGAGCTACTCCTGGCTCTCCCAGCCTGCCTTCCTGCCTACAGGTGCAGCTGGGAGAACTCTAGAATATTCTGTGACATTCT